GTCAATCCCTCCGATGTAAACCCACTGTGAGGTAATCGGACGAGGAAAGTCAAGTGATTTTTCATTGTTGACTAAGAGGAATGATGTTTGACCGACTGCATCCTGAACCAGATACTAATTCATGAAGACTGCGACCAAAATTGTCAGTGATGGCTTACCTTCAAAGGGGTGTATCTATTGCCAACAATCCTTTTTCCCAGTTCATCCAGAGGATCAAACAGTTTATGCTGCAGTATCGCATCTGCTATCGTACTTGATATAACGTTTTTAGCGCTGAATGCAATAAAAATGATTCCCAGAAGAAGCTTAAACGTACTAAGGATTTCACTATCAAGCTCGCGTTAATCTTTTGCCACAAACCCTTTGCCAGGGTTTACATAAGCTAACTAGATGAGCAATATTAAAAACTTCGACCTACCGCTGTACGTAGGACATTTTCTTGATGATGGGATTCTCTAGAAAATTGTTATCTACTGGGCTTTATCTCTGATTTCCTTTTTTCTTCAATCTTTAAATGAAAATGCTTACCAGAAATAGGCATTCCCATTGTTGTTATGAGCCATGGTAGCGGCTCGCTAGAGGTAACGATGACCGATCTGAATTTTTTTTTGAGATAAAATCAACTGCATTTTCTATGAAAAGCTAAATGTTTGAAAGAGGAACCAAAATGTCTTCACAGTGACTAGGAGTGCCATAGGTAAAATGTGAGACGACGGCGATTAGAGTATAAACGATTGCAGTTTTAGCGAAACGAATCAGTTTTTGACCATTTTTTGATGAAAAAATATCTACAAATTCTAGAGATATCAACGTAGATATGAATTTTTTGGAACGAACACAAAAGTGGCTTATATTATCGTACAGAAATAAGCTTTTCTTACCGCGGAATGCCAGCCATGCGCAGTAAAGGTTGGAAACAGGTGACACCACTAGTAACCGCAATATCAAAGTTCTGATTGCGTATCCAGTCGATTACATTCATGCGATTGAAAACCTCTGGAAAACAGAGTTTGCACAAAATTTGCTTTTCACGGTTGTGGAGATATCATGCTTTCGCAAAAATCCAGCATAGTCTGTGAGAAGTTGTAAACAGTTCGCAGGCGATCCTTAATGCGAGTATTAGCCCATATTTTCATTAGTGCATCACCTTTTGCTCCGTAATCAATTTTCTGAAAATTTTCAATAATACTGTTAAGCATTTGATTTAATCATAACTTGTGTTTGACTACACCTTCAAATTCACACTATTGGCTAAATTCTTTGTTTGTTGGCCGGTAGTGGATAGCAAGATC